TCTGAAGGCTTTTTATTTATTCATTACATGTGCTCAGGTTTCCTAATTGAAAATGGTACAAATGATAATTTGGTTGACGAGAAGGGCAGTCATGAAGATATTTACAAGTTTGCTGGAGTGTCAGACATAGTTGTTTGTTGCTTGAGTATGAATAAAGAGACAGTAAGCCTATGCTCTCTTCTGTACTTCGTGTACTTTGGAAAGATTTCCTATTGGATTGCATTGAAATGGAGATGCTCATTGGACTTGGAGTTGGCTCATTTGGACAAGTTGCCAGCGAGCACAACGAATTCTTCATCAATTGCATTCATCCCGAGTGCATGGCAAAAAGAATTATTTATTTGACTTCGTTTCTGCTTCACCACCTCCTTCCTGTTTAGAACAAAAATCTTATTACATAATGGAAAATGTTCTCATACATTTTTAGTTTTCAGTGTATTTTTCCAAAATTCTTACATCAAAGGAAAAGTTCTAGCCTATCAAAAAAGGAAAATTTTCAATTAATATAGCATAGATAAGGAAAGAAATCTTACAATTCATTCCCTCTCCATCGGTTGTTAATTGTTGTCTTTTAACTCTTTCTGTACTTCCTTCTTGAAATTAGTTTCATACCTTTTATATGTCAAATGAAAGAAGGCCATGTTTTTCTTTCTAATTTTATACTCTGTTCATGAGTTAAATGGTGAAGTTTTTAGCTTATTTATTTACTTTTGGAGGTCTAGATTTGGATTTAACTGATTGGTCTAATCAATGAACTGCTTGAAGTAAGATATCAATGAGCAACTTGGGCGACAAAGAATTTGAATGTGAAAACAATTGTCCTATATTTCTGTTCAACCCTTGTATTTTTCTCCTATTCTAATTTTTTATTTGAACTTGCTAAAATAATGTCAACTGATATTTATGCTTTTGCATTTTCTGTTTCAGATGTGAATTTTATTTTTATTTTTTTCCATCATACTTGTATTGTATTTCTCTCCAAATGTGTATTTTATATAATTGATTGGCTAATCCAATAGTATGTCTGTGCTCCAAGATTGATTGTGTAACTCACCACTTTTGGTTATTGCACTCTCAGGCTGGTATTGTGAACAAATCATTCATATCTTCAATGAAAAAGGTTTGTGTTGCTTGTACTCCTTTGCACTGGAAACTTTCCTTGTTTGCATGAAATTATGATGCATCTTCTTCCTGTAGAATTTTCTCTTATGATCCACATTCGTTTTCTTTTTTAGAAGTTGCAATAGACAAGAGTGCTTAGAACTACTGTTCTTAATGATATGTATAGGTGATGGTCAATAAATAAAGCATGCCAGCTTTTTTATTGTCTGGTCTAGCTATTTTTTTACTTCTCAGCCTAATCATTCAACACACTTTAATATATGATTTTCAGGGTTCCCTTTTGGTAAATATTGCTCGAGGAGGTCTCTTGGACTACGACGCTGTTGTGCATCATCTTGAGTCTGGACATTTAGGGGGCTTAGGAATTGATGTCGCTTGGACTGAGCCATTTGATCCTGATGATCCAATTCTCAAATTCAACAATGTTATAATCAGTCCTCATGTTGCAGGGGTTACAGAACACTCTTACAGATTCATGTCTAAGGTATGAACCTTAAACAGATCCTCCGGATTCTTGAGGTGATAACGAATAATCTGGTATTAAGTTACAACTTTAGGCAAGTGATAGATGCAATCCAAGATCATTGCATCTAACTCTTCAGAAATATTTAAATCCTTTGTAGGTTCTCAAAAGTATTCATGCCAACAAATATTTCTAATAGCCATGCACCCAATGTTTTGCTCTCACCCGCTATAATCAAGGATTACATTTTCTTTTGATACAGTGCCAATATGACTGGTACAATAAATTAGCTGAGGAGTATGTGTTTTAAATATTAAATGAAGCATGAAATCTTGACTTAATTTCTCTCAGACACAAAATCTTTTATCATAGCCCTTTTCGATGTAGATTTCTTTAGATTATTTGGACTGTTTTTCTCTCTGCTAATTGTGTAAATCTACAGGTTGTTGGAGATGTTGCCCTTCAACTTCATTCAGGAAATCCTTTAACGGGCATAGAGATTGTGAACTGACTCTTGAGACTCAAGGGAGATGCATCTTCCCATCTTCAATGGCTGAAGGGCCATCCAAGATGTGCTTTTCTTGATGATGTTTTCGGGTAGGCCAACCATCTCAAATGTCTGTTGTTTTCATGCAATGTGAGTTAGACCATGCAAAATTGAGTAGACAATGTCTCAATCTCTTAGAATTTGAGGAGACAATCAGACATCATTTAGCTCTTGACATTGTTTTTCAGTGCCATCACATGGCCTCATTCGAAATATGCAAAATTGAGTTTTAAGTTGTTTCAGGAATTTCTTGAATTCATTATTAGCAACTATATGTTAAACCCCACCATGACTTTTGGTGAGTGTTAGAAAGAAACCACACTGATTCCATCCTCAACTCTAAGCTAGTTGAACGTACAGTGGCCTCCATGAATCCGGAAATTATTGTTCATGAGAAACAAAATACTATTCATGATAAAATTGCTCGTCATGAAACCTTCCACTGGGGACAAGGTTGTGTTTTTACCATGAGAAAAGTGTCATTAATAATTTATGAAGGGTTAAGTTAGTAATTTTATCTTTTTTATACAGTAAAATTATTTTAGAATGCCTTTCAATTAGGGAGATTAAAAAATTAGAAAACCTTTCAATTAGGGAGGATGTTATGTTCTTTTTATTTTATTTTTTTTCAAAATAATAAAATTATTTTGTTGTCTTAAAGATAAAATTAAAATAATTTTTTTAAAAGTTTTTTTATCCTTTTTTATTTGTTTTATTATTAATGTGAATGTTATTCGAAGATATTATTATATTTGATAATATAATAAATATTATATATTTGAAAAAAAAACATGTCAATGAGTGGATGGCGCATGAGGAGTTATTCAATCATCAAATGCTATTTTTTAGGGTAGTGTTTGTAAGATCTCCGTGTTTTCTCTGTAATATGGCATTGCGTGTGCCTATCACATATCTATTTATCACATATCTATTTTGGTGATGACAACTTTTTTTTTTTTTCTATCCTTAAATTTCATGTTATCCCCTTCAAAACTTCAAACCAATCCATTCAAATTTTCTCACTTTATATTTGGTCTATGTTTTTTTTTTTAAATAATTTATAAAATTATAATTTTTTTTAATTTCACCCCTTCTGTTTTTAATCTTTTAAATATGGTTTTCATTCTTTTTATTGCTATTTATTTTGTTCAAAATTATTTTAGATTTTTTTTCAGTTTTATCCTTCATGGGTTTTTTTTTATCAAATTTGATCTTCATTTTTTTCCTACCTTTTTTGCTTTGGAATTTTTTTTAAAGTGACTTTTTTATAATTTCAACTTCAAAATTAAATTGGTTGAGAATTAAAAAAAAAAAATTAACTCAGTCAAGGGTTTTACGAGCTGTGAGTTTTTAATATTAGACCAGATTTAAAAAGTTTACCCGAGTTTACTTGGGTTTTTTTCTTTTTTAAAGTTGATCGTTTTATCCTTTTTTAGAGTGTTACTTTGTTATTTTTTATGATTTTTCTTTTATGAGATTAGTCTTGGGTTCATGATCAGGATCATCGATTTTAAAAATTAATACGAGTTGATTTTTTGTTCTTTTTTAAAATTAATTTATCTTAATTTTATATTTTAATATTTGATTTATGGAGAATTAATCTTCATGCTTTTTCTTTTCTTTTCTTTCTATTAAGTTATTCTAATCTTGTGTCCATGATCATGGGGTTGACGGGTGTGTTGACTTGGATTTTTTTTTTTTTTTTTGTCATTTAACATTGAGTTGTTCGATAATTGAGTTTCATAATTTTATTCAGTTTATTTTCAAACATAGTTATTCTTGTATCACGACTGTGTTAGAGATTTTACATCTTAATTTGGGTGGGTTCAGATCGACTTTTTTCCACTATTTTTTATTATTATATTTTCATTTGATTTATTATAAATTGGTCTCTATATATTTTTTCTAATTTTTTTCTTTAAGATTATCTTAATTTTATATTCATGAACATAGATTTTGCAAATTAATCTGATTTAATAGTTTTTTTTATTTTATTAATTTTTTTTTAATTTTACCCTATTGCTATGTTGTTTAGTAATCGAGGGTTCAAGTCAAAAAAAAATTATTTTTACCTTTTTTCATTAATTTATTTTTTATTGTTATATTATTTTATTCATATTATTTAAATAAATAATTAAACCAATAACTCAAGCCTAAAATTTTTATTTTCCTTGGCATTTCTTTTTTATGTCAGAAAAAGAATTTGATATGCCTGCAACACAGCATTGTGTACAAATTTAGTCATTTCTAAAATAGAAATGGAACCATTATCTATCAAGAAGCTATTGTGCAACCCATATTTTATGAAGTTTTGAAAAAATATTTCGATTAAAATTATTTTTTCCAGATCATTTTAATATATTAATATTAAAAACATTTTTAAAAAAAAATAAAAAATGTTATTTTAATTTATTTTTAAATAAAAAACAATTTAAAAAATAAATCTACACGCTTTTAAACAACCCCTAAATTCCATGCTGGCCGTTCCTCTCCTTAAAGAGAGAGCTGCTTTGATTTGTGAACACTCTTACCCGCCTTCCAATCAAAGCATCAGCCTCTTCGCTAAACAATTTGAAACTCCGTATCAAAGGTTTAGCTAATAAAAGGCAAGGTAGGAAACGCATTACAGGATTCTAAGCAGATCCTCTTTCTTTTCCATAGGAAACACCATCAAACAAACGAGAATCACAGGAACTTCAAGCCATGCTCCCTGCACTACGATCAATGTCCCGTTGAAGGAATACCTGCTTAGGGCCTAATGGAGGGATTAATTGTTTTCTGCTCAATGGTCCAAGATATAGGAGGCATTTCAGGTGGGAAAATAAGGAAGAGATCTGGCCAGGTACACAAGTTAACCTGAGCCCCTCATGAACCAAACACAAATATACTCCATGAAATTAAGAAGAATTGAAAACACAATCCAGTTTTAATAATTCCACCACATGCCATGCATGAATTGTTTTTGGGGCAAGAATGAATGTGCCAAGAGATCCAAAACAACTAGATTGGAAATTGAAAATATCAAATGAAAAGCTCTCAATCAATGCATTTGTTCATGCCTTGATGGTCACACTGCACAAACACCATCCAGACGGCTTTATCTCGGAAGTCTGCCACTCAGAGCCTGGGGATGCATCAGGATCATACAATAGAGTACGGTAACCTGGCTCCATCACTTGAGAGAACAACAACAGTTTTCCATCAAGTATCCCAAACCGAAACCCAATACTTGAGCTCCCAGTCAAAGGAACTGGTACCATTTTCCATGAGTTGTCTTCTGGACTGAATATAGCTAGTTTCCTCTGGTTCTTCCACTCCATACAGAAGAGCTTCTTTCCCAGCACAGCATGAGCAGTAACCATGACACAGCCATTCTTTATTTCACACCAAGTGTGTCCTTCAGGATTGTACACGTCAACAACTTTTGAATTGCCAATAGTGAAGCTTGACCTTCCTCCCATGACATAAAGTTTCCCCTCAAAGCTACAGGCAAAGCAACCCCACCTGGGCCGGCGAAGACTTTCAATCAAGGTCCATTTGTCAGTGTCAGGATTGTACATCTCGACACTAGAGAGACTATCACCATCCATCCCATTGCCTCCAACGACATAAACTTTGCCATTAACCTCTGCGCAAGCAAACTCATAGCGAGCCACATTCATGCTTGCCAATTTCCTCCAACTGCAATTATGAAAAAAAATGCATAAGAAAACAATTCCCAAAGGAAATAAGTATATAATTATTTGGTAACAAAGACCAAAAATAACAGACGAGCAACCCTAAACAAGGACATAGTTTCTTGGGTTTCACATGTCCTTTCCAACAAAATGTTTCTCTAAATTGAGAAACTAATCAGTTGGTCGGACAACTAGCAAATGCCAATAACATAACTGATTCACATGAAAGATCGTTCATAGAACTCAAAAAATAAGCATAAAGACTTCAATCTAACAAATGCAAATTGTTCCATAAAATCCACTAATTTAAAATGTCAGAATTATCTCTTATCTAAATAAAAAAATTCAGAATCATCAAACCAACCTATTCCCTCTTGCCAGCAAAATGCCATCAAATCAATAGGCTAAGCTATCAGTTACCAATTACAAGAAGACTTGAAATTGATTTGATTATTAAATCAAATTATATGATCTCAAACTTCCAACCAAACAGGGGGGGAAAAGAAAATAAAAATAAATGCAGCTCGTAACAATAGGGGGAGGGTGAGTCCCATGCTTGTACAAGGAACAAACCTGTTGAGGCACGAATCATATTCATAAACATCTGCAGAGGCAGAGCCAGTACCATCAATCACTGAGTAGCCAGCCATGACAAGAAGCTTTCCATTTAGAACCACTACCCCAAACTCAGCCTTAACTGGACCAGGCATTGGTGGTAGAAGTTGATGTTTGTGTCCTAAACAATCAAAAACCTCCCAGTGGCTTTCCTTTGCTTCAGAGTCCATAGTTAAGACATAGAGCCGTTCCTCTAGCAAACCAGCTAATTTTCGTATGGTTATGAGTTCTTTGCTTTTAAGAAAAGACCTCCATTTCTTGCATACAGAACCCATGGTTGGGAAGTGGGAGCGAGGAACTAGTGCAAGGCAATACTTTGCCACATCATCTGGCAGCCCAGGTAGAATGGGGCTGTCAATATCATAGGGGATCTGAGAAGCTAATCGAGGGTTACTCTTGAAATCTTGCGTGATCAAAGTGGAAAAATTCATGTTTGCTTCTGTGAATCTTTTCTTTCCACTCACAATCCCAAGCATTTTCAACTAATCTAGAGAGAAGCAGACGATTCTTGTTTTTTGTCTATTACCTCTCCCTAGGAAGATGATTTAGAAAGAAAAAAAGACAATTGATTAAAGAAACTCATGGAAACCATCACCTATAGGAATTTTCAGAGACCAGGGCATGAAAAATGTTGCACCACAAATCACTTGAGAAGTAAATGCTGAGGATTTTCTTTGATTTGTCCAGTCTGATACATATTCCATTCTAGATGTTCTGCTCTTAAAGTAGTTCCTTTCAGTTGTTTTATACAGGATACCTTCTAAACCTCTAAAATAGTCTCTTCCTGCAAACATTGCCTGAATGTCTACAAAATAAGGACACAAAATATTATGAAGCTGAAAAACCAACATTTGCTTATCAGATTAGAATTTTAAAGGGGGAAAAAAATCCTACCAGTGACAGCCATAAAAGTTAGCAAATCTCAGCCTCCTCTAACTTCCATTTTCATTGGAGAAGATAAATTCCTGGCATGATTAAATAAAGGGAACAACCAAAGTCAAAGCAGAAACTATAGTATTTCATAGCATTCAAAAATCCATTTCTTTAAGGAGAAAGGAAAAGGTAACCAATCGCCCCTTAGATAACTGTAGTTTTCAGTTTCCACTACCCTAAAGCTTCATGCAAAAATGTAACAAAAAATCAAAAACGTTATCTCCAAACTTGCTATACTCAAATATCCCATGAATTATTTTCATCACGTGTCATAAAAGAGGGGCCACTACATTAGAAAATCATCTTCTAAACTCATGTCACATCTTACCTACCTCACCAACCAAATGCATGTCGAAAATACAAGCAAGTAAAGTTAAAGGTAAATATCCTGATTAACATCTAATCATCCTAAACAACCATTTCATCATTAGAAGAAGACACCACAACAACCTGAAGCATCGTAGCCCATCAAAAGCTAAACGGAGAGACAGATCAGATCTGAATAATACTTTCCTCCAAAAGCCACAATGCAGAGACTCTAATAAGCAGATCTAAATCCAATGTTTTACTATCATGAACAAGAATTTACCTAACAATGGCTAAAACATCAATGTCAAACCATGAAAGGTCAGCTCTTGTACAATAAAATTCAAGTAATCAAAGAATTAAAATCCGAAGCACTAAACCACAAGTACTTTATGTGTAAAAAAGTGTATTGAGCCCTTCAAATGATATAAAAATCTACGTTTTTATTACCTTGGTAACTAAGCACTACAGCAAACAACAACAGAAGGAAGTAACATAAGTTAAGAAGAAGCAAATTATGGCATGGATGACTAAAAGCCAAGAAAAGAAGACCCGTTCCATCTATGGCAGGAGAGACAGAGGATTTTACCTTGAAGCAAGAAGGGAAACAGAGTTGGAGAGGTTGTTAAGGAGTGCTTGTTGCAGAAGATTTGGTCTTGGTAACGGGCGAGAGACAGAGAGACAGAGAGACAGAGAGAGAGTAGAACAAATTTATGTGGGATTTTTATAGAGACAGAAACTAAAATAGGAAATTTTTAAGATTATAAAAATTGAGAGAGGGAGAGGGGAGAGAGAGAGAGAGAACGACTTGTCACTCGTCAGAAAGAGATTTTTTGATGGATTGTTTGGATATTATTAGTGTGTGTTTTTATGCACGATTCTGTAGGGTGTAGGCAGGTTCTGATCCACTTGATTCTTTTGATGAATAAATATTGTCGGATTGATTGAGGTACCATGATTTATTAGGAATTGTTTGGTAATGCGATCGGTAGTATTTTTGAATAAGTAATTTTTAATTTAAAAAATATTAAAATTTTAAATTTTTATTATTAGAATATAAAAAATTTAAAAATAATTAACTTAATATTTTTTTCAAGTCAAAAATATTTTAAAAAATTAATTTAACTGTTTAATCAAACAAAGACACGGTAACATAACATTTTTATGTTAAATTAATTATATATTAAGAAACTTTAATTATTGTTTTACCAACTTAAGATCTACCTTTTCCAATGGATGTGTTTAGCACCACTATAAGGCACTGTTTGGGGCTGAGATTAAATTATTTTTTAATCAAATTTTAAACTTTTTTCTTTGTTTTAAATCAAGAGGCTGTTTCAGTGTTTTCTGAATTGTTTTATTGTATTAATATTAAAAATAATTTTTTGAAAAATAAATATTATTTTGTTTTATTTTAAAATAAAAAATATTTTAAAAAATAATTTCAAACACTCCTACACATGCCCTAAAGAATAAATTTGAAAAAAAAAAAAGTAAATAGTGTGGCTTTGTTTGGGAAATCGATTGTAGAATTGTTGCGAAGTATAATAATTAATCGATTAACCCCTCCAATTAATATAATTCGTTTCATAATAAATGCTTGATGCTTGTGCACAAATATTGGCCTATCATCGTGATGCCTGAGGTGACCGGAGAATGAGTTGACCGGAGAGAAATGATGCCTTGCAATCTACGCAAAGGAGTTAATTATATGATGCCTTTCTGGTTGTTTGTTCATGGTGGTGGTAGCTGCAGTGGAAACCAGTAGTTAGCTATGTGTAAGCTTATGGAATTTGGTCAAACTTGACGGCCGAATCAACCATTGGATTAACCAAGTTTAAGTTTAGATATAATTATTTTTAAAGTATTTTTATTTAAAAATATTATAAAATAATTTAAAAATATTATAAAAAAATAATTCCAACTAAAAAATAAAAATTTAATTTTTTTAAAATACAAAGACAAATAGAAACACACCTGTAGTCGTTAGGACATTTATTTATACATTTTCTGGGCTAAATATATAAATTGAGATTAATAAAAAGACTATGAGGCAGGCAGAGGTAGTGTCATTCTCCACCAGCTTGAAGATAAGATTGAAAATTATTATCTTGAGGACAATTATTATAAGCCTTGAAAGCTCTGATGTATTGTCCATGAGAAAGGGAGGACGTATGATATTTAACTATATATTGCCTGTCACAATTTATTTAAAATAAGTATTTTATGTAGAAATATGCAGTAAGGCAAGGTTTAAAACAGTAAACTGCTAATCACTACCAAAATGCTTTTGGCTGGGGGGAGAGCGCATTCACTGTTCAGCAGTATTTTTTATTTTATTTTTTTTTCTTTAACAAAGAAGATGTTCAAGCAGTAGATCTTCGTGGGGAACATAGGTTTAAATTGAGGTATTAAATTTTATTATATTGGTGACCAGAGCTACTCCACGTTTAAATCCATCCTTTTTACGCAGAAAAATATATATATTCAGAGTATTATTATAATTTAAAAAAAATTATACTCAAATCATCAACTTAACTAAATTTAATAAGATTGTGTAATTTAATTATCTAATTTAGATGGCAGATAAAGATAGTAGATGACCCATAAAAAAAAAATATTTGACAACAATTAACTAAAATATAAATAAATGATATTATATGCATATAAAGAAGGAAGAAAAAATCATTGAAGATTCACAATTACTCTATCATAAATGTCGCTCACCACAAAATAAAAAATTGCTAAAATGATGCATACCTTGCTGTAATAAACTACATGATAATATCAAAAAAAATCAAAAAATCCACTAAAGCAATATTTTAAAAAAGAAAATCGAATAAAACATAATGAAGTTAATATCTATTTATATTTAATTAATCAATTTTATTAAATTTAAGAACAAAAATTATTTTAAAAGAATTAGTCAACAAAAAATAAAATAAAAAAACTCAAGATAACTTAATAAAATTAAAAAATAAAGGATAAAACAAAAGATATAAAAAAAAAACTTATTTTCAATTAAATAAATCTTAATGATTGGAATTTTAAAAACATTAGCTTATAAAATGATTAAAAAAACAAAGTAATTTCGAGTGAATCTTCTAAGATTGAGTTAATTCTCAAAACTTACAATCCATGCAATCCTAGACAATAAAAACATATTAAATTGGGCTTAACCAAGAAGCTCAATTTCAAAATAATTTAATATTGAATAATAAAATCAAGTAAAAAATATAACAATCTAAAAAAATTAGCAAAACAATAAAAATAAAAATAAAAAGAATAAAAATAAAATCTAATAGGAAAAAAATAAAGGGTAAAATCCCATAAAAATTAAATTTAAAAATCATCTCAGATTACCTAAATAGCATTTAAAAGAATAATAATCAAATAGATAAATAAAAAATTAAATAAGAATAAAATTAAAATAAAATTTTAATTTTATAAATTATTTCAAATAAAATAAATAATAACTAAAAGAATAGAAACTAGAAAAAAAAAAAAAGAGAGAAGTTGAGGGGTCAGTTTGAAAAATTAAAAGGCCAGGCACCTACACTACCAAAAGAAAAAACGATCATCCACGTCACATTATGTTCCTTCCAGTGCATGGGCCACCAGATCATAAAGTAAATGTCAAGACAAATTAGACAGTGTCCTAGAACATTTTTTGGCCATTGTAATTACTTGCATTTGTCGTTCAAAAATAGTATAGCAGCTAATACGCTTACATGTGTCCAGCATGCGGCAACATAATTTTCTGTAAAATACCACACTATCCTTGTCCTAAACCAATAATAACAAAAAAAAAATCCAATAATTATTAAAATACCACGCTGACATGTACGCTTTTACATGAAAATAAAAAAATAACCCGCAACCTAATAATTTCTCACTTCCCAGGGCATGAGTGCATTTTTCTGTGCTATTGGAAAGTAAAATACCTATCTTATCCTCGATCAATTTTAAAATGCTAAATGGTCCCATTGTAAAGATATTTTTACCCTTAATCATTAGCCTATTAGGTTTTTTCTTTGAATGGCAGGACAGTAAAAACACTATTTCTATCCATAGTGCAATATGTCCATATGTCCAGGGGAACCATATTTTTGCCGTCCTTTCCAGCTTTTTTTTTTTTCAATAAATCGATATAGTTAGTGAACATCGACTCATGATAGCAAATGCTAATTACCTATAATCTAAAATGTGTGAGGTTTTTATTGTAGGATTTGTCATTATTCACGCATATACAAATAACTGTAGAGTTTTATTTTAGACTATTTAATTCTAATTTAAAGCCAATTAATTCTGATTTATTAGAGAATAGTGGAATTAGAAGAATATTAATCAAAGTGAAAAAGGCATAAAAAATGAGAGGTGTGCTGAAAGTTTTAAAAAAGATATATTTTAATTTTTTAACTTTAAAAATAACATAAATTATATAATTTTAGTGTCTTAGCTTTTTTTCAAATTCAATTTTGTATAAAAGTTCATTGTTGTTATTTTTTTAGCTCCTAGTTAAGAGAAAAGAGAGGGACGGAGAGATTGTTGGATTCCAATAATAAAGAGAAAAAAAATTATTGACACTTATTTACGCCACTTAAGTAGCTGATATTTGTATCAAATGGTTTTATTTGATGAGGAGAGTTCATAGTAGGTATTTTTTACCTTTAAAATTAATGAAAAAAAAGAAGACCTGAACTCTTTGTATAATTAAAAACATGATACGGGGAGTTTAGATCAAACCAAAATAGTTTGATTTTGATTTTTTGGTTTTTTAAGGTCATTGACAGTTTTGTCATAATTACTAAGATGTTTTGAATAAAAAATAGATCAAGAAATAATGTTTTGAATCTCAATTTCTGGCTACTATAATGACTAAAATCTAGGCAAGTTAGACAATTTGATTTTAAGCTTCAATTTTTTTCATATTTAATTTTGGTATAAAAATTTATTTTTATTACCTTTTAGTCCTTGGTTGAGAGAGAAGGTAAAGAGATCGCAGGATTATGATTGTAGAGAGAAAAAAATTGTTAATATCAATTTAGGCCACTAAAATAGTTGATATTTATGTCAAATAGTTTTTATTTATGATAAGAGTTTAAATCAAGGTTTTTTTTTTACTTTTAAAATTCGTGAAAAAATATATTTGAACTTGGTTTGATTTTGGTTTTTGGGATGAGTTTTTTGTTTTTTAAGGGCATTAGTAGATTTATCAAGATTACTCGGATGTTTTGAATAAAAAATAGATCAAGAAACAATGTTTTGAATCTCAATTTCTAGCTACCACATGATTGAAATATAGACAAATCAGGCGACCTGATTTTAAACCTCAATTTTACAATTGGTGTCTTTTTATATGGATTTTTTTCTTTATTTTTTTATTTATATTTAGATCGATACCCTTTTATCTTTCATTTTATTTAAAAAGCTTTTTAAAATGATAATTATTTTTTTATTATACATTTAGACTTTTTAGTGTTTTTTTATTCATTTATGGTTTTTTTAATTTTTTATATAGATAAATTTTATTTTTAAAAATAAAAAAATTATTTTCAGATAATATTTCTAATATGTGCATCCTTACATGATATTTTTTTTATTTTATTCAATCAATTTAATTCATGTCTCTTTATTTTATTCAATCAATTTAATTCATGTTTCTATTTTTATTATTATTTTTTTGAATAAAAATTATTTTAATAAATAAATTTAGCAAATATAACTGGGTAAATGTT